CCCTATACAAGATGCTGTCTGATGGCGTAGTGTAGAATGTAGCGTAGAATGTTTTCCAAGTCAGCTTAAATGCAAAGGTTTGTTTTAAGATTTATCATAATGACTTGCAAAAATTTAATGCAGTTAAATTTATTGTATTCTTGAAAAATTGACTGTAACACAATTTTTTTACACAATTACAAATAATCAAATTAATTTTTTTCCAACTTTTTTTCAGGGTCTCTGCCAAAATCTTTTGAGGATTTTTCCTCTGCTAGAGCATCCATGGATGCAATTGAAACAACCCAGGACATCCCAACACATATGGATAATCAGGCCATGGCCTACAGTATGTACAAAAGTTGCCATACTTTTAAAGCAGTAACTTGCGTGCCTCCAAATGGTGCACTTACATTTTGCTCCATGCTGTACCCAGGTTCTACTTCTGATGTAGCTATTGTACGTCACAGCCAAGTTTTACGAAAGTTCAAAGCTGGAGACCTTATTTTGGTGGTCAAAGGTTTCACCATTCATGACCAGTTGCCCCAGGGTGTCTGCTTAAATTATAAAAGCTCTTTTATCGACACGAGGCCAGTTTACCATACAAGAAGCAGCACTGTGTTACAAGATTGCTAAAGCACTTATTCATGTGGAAAGAGCCAACGAGAGGATAAAGAATTACGAGATTCTCCGTTACATACCATCTACTTACAGACCAATCTCAACAAAAATATTTCAACTCTGTTCTTGTCTTGTAAACTTGCAAGCTCCACTTTTGAAAGAAATTACTTAAAGATACATGTACTTATTATAAATTTGCATTGGCGTGTGACAGTATACACTAAACAGTGAAGATATTCATACCAAAGTGCAAGGGATAAGCAAATTTTGATTTGTTATCAATGTCAATGGTTATATTTGTTAATTTTGTTGTATGTTGTAATACATGTACTTCAGAAAATGAAAATCCCTTTTGTTAGCATGGATTTATTACAAGAATGTTTGGCAATTCCATTCTTCATTTGACAATATAATTTGGAAGAGGGTTTACTTATAATTTTAAATCTCTAGTTTAAAGTATATTTACCTTTAAAGCACAACTCAACAAATTCATGTTTTCAACAATTTATCTATTAAGAAAGACAAAAATGTTACATTTTCACTTTGAGAATAACATCTTCAATTCATTAATAAAATGATTCTAAATTTTGATATTCTTTTTTTATGTAGTACATACATGTAGATTTTATTAATCATCATTGCTATTTAAAATAGTCTTATAAGCCAGAAGTTTTATGATGGATTGTGACATATCATGTCATACATTTATGAGACTTAGGAACATTCAACACATTTAACATGATTACCCATTTTCCATTGTTAGAAAATTCTAGAGGTACAAAACTAAGTGTCAAGAAGTTCAAACCAGAACTCAGTTTTCCATCAGTGCTGGAATGAAAATGTTAATGTAGAAATCTATCAGCTTTGGAACATTTGCTGTCCATTCAATGTCTTTTACTATTCTAATCACAATGCAGTCTACTCTTGTCCACACAATTAAGTCGCAGAATGTTTTGTTACATATGTGTAGCTGGCCTTGAATTTGATGATAGTATGGGTGACTGGTTTTCAGGCACAGGGTATCTTGTTTAAGATCTAAAAAAAAATCAAAAAACACTTAAGTTGTGTTATACCAGTACATATCCCCTCCTTTTTCAATATCTTCATACCATATTGAACAGCTGCACTTGTAAATTAATACATGTTTTGAAATCATTTACTCACCAAGATTTTTAATTTCAAAGTACTGGACAATACAGATTTTTAATGTTATTTACCTATGAAAAATCCTTCAAATTTTGTGCCCCATCTGCTACTGTTGAAGACGATGCTGTATATGGACACTTCACCTCTACAATATCAGGAATGGCGTCTTTGGCTTCTGGAGTTTGATAAAATACACTGCATGTTGGTGGTCGAACAACTAAGCCATCAGGTGAAGCTCCCAACACTCCGAATTCATGCAACCATATCCTTTTCAGAAAAAATTATAATACTACTGAATGCAAACAAACCATAATACAATTGATTTTGTAATGCAGTAACAAAGTCTAAGTAGAGCTTTTATAATCCTTCCACTTCAAAAAGCAAATTTTCTGGAATATGTTGGTAACTGAATATTTATGCCCCGCCATGAATATGGCCGGGGCATATAGTGTTTGTCATGTCCGTCTTCCGTCCTTCCATCCCACTTTGTGTTTAGCTCTGTTCAAAGCTAAGTTTCAAAGAAACTATCCAAGATATTTTCATCAAACTTCATATGCTGATAGATATTGATGAGAGCTATGCAACTGCAACAACATTTTTTGACCTTGACCTTTCCTTTGACCTTGACCTGACTTTTCTTAAATAGTGTTTAGCTCAGTTTTAAACATACCATTCAAGATAGTGTTATCAAACTTTACATGTTGATACAAACTTGCATAGATGATGCATCTAGAGATGAACACTACCGGACTTGCTTTGGATGCTGGATCTGACCTACATTTTCCAGATGAGTGACCAAATTAAAGTTTTTGGAGCAGGTCTATTCTTAAGGAACTATAAGCCCTACTTAGACCAAACTTGGTTGGATGATGCATCTAAGGATGGACACTACCAGACTTGCTTCGGATGCTGGATCTGACCTATATTTTCCAGATGAGTGACCAGGTTGAAGTTTTTGGAGCAGATTTATTCCTAAGGAACTATCAGCCCTCCTTAGACCAAACTTGCATGGATGATGCATCTAGGGATGGACACTACCAGACTTGCTTCGGATGCTGGATCTGACTTACATTTTCATTCCCAAGTAACTATAAGCCCTACCTAAACCAAACTTGCATGGATGATGCAGCTAGGGATGGACACTACCAGACTTGCTTCGGATGCTGGATCTGACTTACATTTTCATTCCCAAGTAACTATAAGCCCTACCTAAACCAAACTTGCATGGATGATGCAGCTAGGGATGGACACTACCAGACTTGCTTCGGATGCTGGATCTGACCTTTATTTTCATTCCCAAGTAACTATAAACCCTACCTGAACCAAACTTGCATGGATGATGCATCTAGGGATTGACACTACCAGACTTGCTTTGGATGCTGGACCTACATTTTTATTCCCAACTAACTATAAGCCCTGCCTGAACCAAACTGATCAAATTTTATACATGTACAAATTTCATGTTGCTTTACTAATATATCCTTGGCGGGGCATTCATGTCCTATGGACATATTTCTAGGTTTTTTTTTACAATTAGACTTCAGTAATTGATTTCTGTTTGTCACCAGGATAAGTCCTGTTATTTGTTTTGACACATTGAATGTTAACTTGTCAGAGGTTGAATGAATGTTATTTTGTGCTGTATACCTGACTGCTCTACAGCTGCATCAAAGTCCTTTTCATACTTTCTCAAAGCATCATCTTCATGAGTGATACCCCATGCAACAGCCTTGATGGACTCCAGATTGTAAGCCGACATCAGCTGTTTCTTCAGTGACAATGTCAATCTGGAGAAGAAAATATGATTTTTGGTTATTTATCTTATATTTCCTGCATCTTTATGTACAAATATCTAGTCATTACAGTCGAACCTCATTATCTCAAAAAAGTTGGAAGCTGATATGCTTTATTTCCTTACAATCGACCACATTGGGTTGTTTCGTTGCCAATGCAGCTCTTTTAATGGATTCAGGGATAATGCATGCTGTAACCATACCATAGGGGTATCAGAATGAACATACTCTGGTGATGTTAACAGGTCTTCAATGAGAGGTACAGGTGGACCAGGTTCACATGGCTCTGGTTCAAGAATCCAATTCAATGCTGAAAAATTTCATTACTTGTGTCATTCTCAAAAATATCATCCATAATATCCATATCACATATACCAAGTATTTATATAAGAGTCCATACATTTCATTTTAGTGAACACTGTCATGGGTTTTTGTAATGTATGCATTACATATCAAATTTACAACTCACTTGCATATATTAGTTCAGAATTGTTCCTGTATATAATTTTGCACGTGGCATTCTTAGTGTGAAAATGCCATGTAAAAATTGGTGCAAATGTACAATTAATATTTACTTAATTATTAACAAGGTTTCATAATGACAGAGTATTTAAATAATAGAAGAATGATCTGATAATTCGCAAGAATATGAAACAAAATATTTTTTTTAATGCAATTGAATAATTTATTTTTCCTTTCAAAAATGTATGCTCATGTACAAAAATGCTATCATATTTATAATATTGTCTTTCCAATTATTCAAAGGTTGTTATTAATATTTATTACATAGTATGTTCAAAAATTGGGCAATATACATAGCCAACTATATTATACTCCTCATCTTTGTACATTTGTTCACAATTAAAATTAACAATCGGTCAGTAACAAAATAACAGTTTCATAATACTCGTAATATAAAAATCAAATCAAACTTAAATAACAACAATAGTAACACCAAAATCATAACTTCCTTCTTATATTTTACCAATAAACCTTTCAAGGTGCAAAAAACACTGGTCACTTTCATCAAAGGGTCAGTTTAAAGCACTTCAAATATGAAGCAAATTTTTTAACAACTGATTTATTTATATTTAATGATTGATCATTTTTCAAAAAAAAAAAAAAACAAGAGGCCCATGGGCCACATCGCTCACCTGAGCACTGTGGCTAGGAAAAAGTAAAAATTGTTTTTTTATTGAAAAGTTTAAATCCAAAAGTAGTCCCTTGACCAATCATGGCTTTGCTTTTCTTGAGAAGATATTTTTAAAGAATTTTCCTATATATTTCTATATAAAATTTGATCATCCTTTGTGGCCCCGTCCTACCCCCGGGGGACATGATTTGAACAAACTTGAAAAAAAACTTTAAATTAAAAAGAAAGTTGCAAGATTGTGAAGGGGGGGGGGGGGGGGGGTACTGATGCTGTGCATTTTAATTAAATGTACAAAATCTGTATTTCACAGTTTAATGCATTCATGTATTTTGTGAATTGTCTTAGGATTCATGTAATAATTGTTGCTATGTATTATTAAGCACTAAATCTATTCAACTGCATGTGTAAATGGGGAAAATGTGGATATGTAAATGATGTATAATTGCAATGTGTAAAATGTGACATTTTCTTATATGAGGGAGTCTGTTCATGTAATTTTTTTTCATTAATTATTTTATTTATCTTGATAAAATTATTTCAATTAACAATATTGTTTTTCTTACCAGTCTGATGAACTCAACAAAGGTTACAGAGGTGAATGGTAGAAATATGGGTATTACAGGTGTCAAAACTCTTCGTTGATGACCAGACTGCATGCCGCACTGTAAAATCACCATTTTGGATCTTTAAAAGGGGAGGCTACTCCCGAAATCAAAGAAATTGTCATAAAAATGAGTAACCTGATTTTCTTTAGGTCTCACACAAGGAAATAATTTCACTATATGTTACTATATAGCTTTAATTAAATAAATTAATTAACTAGACTCTCCGCAGATAATTCATGAATGAGAAAAAAGATTAATGCTTAGACAAAATTTGAGATCAGAAAAAATATACCCCTTATGCGGCTTTTAAGAAAGAAAATTGAGACTAAACATACCTATACCCCGAAATACACATGGGCAAACAGCCAACACACCACCGAGGAAGTTACATCGATCATGCGTACCTAAAAAAAAAAGAGTTCCCTTTGATTCAGTGGCACAATTCTGCTGATATGATATTCCTAGTGCATGAGTCCAAAATTAAAACTGTAGACCTACGTAAAGTTCCTGAAAATGAAAAAAGAAAAGAAATATTATTGTCTCTAATATATTATATACATCATACATAGAACTACATTTGTTCATTTTAATTAGCTATCTCCTTGCATAAGACCTCTAAGGATAATTTTATGCTATTTACCATGTGCACTGATTGCCATAAAACTAAAGAAAAAATACCAGCCTTACAAAGTCACTTAACCATGACCTTTGACATACCTTACTAAGAATACCCTGGACAATTTGGTTTAACTTAAGACTTCTGAATTTTTAAATGCAGGTTTTGATAAATTAACCATTTAATATACTTATGAGCTCATAAAACTGTTCTTTAAAACTGTATGATAAAGAGTGTAAAAACTTTGAAACATGTTTGGAAAGTATTATCACACATGTGATATGGGATAAATTATCACCACCGAAAGATCAAAGAAAATCACTGCAGATATGCGACAATAATTCTTATCATTGTTTATTGTATGTCAAGTCTAGAATATGATATATCATTACAAATATTATGATTTTTAGCTGGGCACATTGCTCGTAGAGCAATGCTCAGCTATTGCGACGGTGAGCAACAGAAAATGCTGCTTCTTCACCGCCAAATTGAGTTTACGAGTAAAAGTATGGTACGTGCACCAGCCGCTGTTGAGAAAACAAAATCCATTCAACACCTTAAGAAATAGTAAATTGAATATTTTTATCATAATATTAAATTGTTTAATATTTTTTCCTGGCTCCTTTGACTAATATTTTACAAAGTAATTCAACGGGTGCAAAAGGTTTTCACCAGGTATCCTTGTCTGCATCATATTCTATAAACAATATAATTAAAATTAGATGTTAGATCCGCTCGCATACTCGCCACACTAACATCTAACAAGTCATCCCATTGAGGGTCACGTAAGAGGTTAAATTCGGAAGGCCTCACGATTTATTCGCTTCCACAATATATGATGATTTTGCCAGCTGCGATTTGATTAATTGATAGAATTTGACCTCTGACGTGACCCTCAACAGGATGTTGTTAGATGTTAGTGTAGCGAGTATGCAAGCGGATCTAACATCTAATTTGAATTAGATTGATTCTATAAATAAAGGTTGTACTATCAGGCTAACACAAATGCAGGGAACATCATTAATGACTTGATGCAAATCTCCCCGCTGAGAACACATCAGTGCAGAGACGTTTGACCTTAATCTTGCTGCATTGGTGTTTATTTACTTCTGTTTGTATATAAAACCGGATTACCCCGAAACGATACGTGATAAATATTTTTCGCTGTTAATTTCTAGCTATATTTTATTTTATTTTTAAAACTATTTAATATTATACATGCCATTGAGATATTTTTGTGTGTATTACATATTCTCTAAACGTCTGAACGTGATTTTAAACTGTCACCACAGTCCTTGTTCATTATCCTGTAAATGAGCCCGGCTCAATACATTTACTATAAAAATAATTGGACAAATTTGTGAATGACAATATTCAATGATGCATAGCAATTAATCTTTTCCTGACATTCACCTTCTCCTAAAAATTTGTCGTGTTATTTATTTATTTATTGCAAAGTCGTCCCTGGACTAGTGCTACGGTCAATGCAGCTGCAATGGGCCATGCAATTTCGAACCCTGCGTGGTGAGAGTTTGTCCCGAGACACAGTTAGATTATTCTAACTAGCACCAATATAGAATAAATCATACCGATTAATCAACATCACTACAATATGAGGACGTAAAAATAGGATAAAACACCCTTTAGTCCAGCAATAAGCCACTCAATATTGTTTTTGATGTACCTTCAAACAAATCAAATTAATGTTCTTGATTCTCACTTTTCACGTTATGACTGACTTAGTGCTTCTTGATACCAAAACAATTTTTCTATTACCTATAATTTTGACTTTAGGTTGAATTCGCCAATTTCATGCTTGCGAAGTTGTGTCAATGTGTGCATTACGACCGCTCCGGCTACTTTCGTTATTTCTAACCAATGAAAATTGTCCTTACTTTTCTGTTGCGTCATGCAATTTTATTGCACGCATCACTGAATTGTAGAACACACATCACAAGATTTCGAATATACATCACAAGATTATCGAACATACATCACAAGATTTCGAATATACATCACAAGATTATCGAACATACATCACAAGATTTCGAATATACATCACAAGATTTCGAACATACATCACAAGATTATATAATATACATCACAAGATTTCGAATATACATCACAAGATATTGAATATCCATCACAAGATTTCGAATATACATCACAAGATTTCGAACATACATCACAAGATTATAGAATATACATCACAAGATTTCGAATATACATCACAAGATATTGAATATACATCACAAGATTTTGAACATACATCACAAGATATTGAATATACATCACAAGATTATAGAATATACATCACAAGATTTCGAATATACATCACAAGATTATAGAATATACATCACAAGTTTTAGAATATACATCACAAGATATTGAATATAATCACAAGATTTTGAACATACATCACAAGATTTTGAATATACATCACAAGATTTCGAACATACATCACAAGATTTTGAATATACATCACAAGATTTTGAATATACATCACAAGATTTCGAACATACATCACAAGATTATAGAATATACATCACAAGATTTCGAATATACATCACAAGATATTGAATATACATCACAAGATTTCGAATATACATCACAAGATTTCGAACATACATCACAAGATTATAGAATATACATCACAAGATTTCGAATATACATCACAAGATATTGAATATACATCACAAGATTTTGAACATACATCACAAGATATTGAATATACATCACAAGATTATAGAATATACATCACAAGATTTCGAATATACATCACAAGATTATAGAATATACATCACAAGTTTTAGAATATACATCACAAGATATTGAATATACATCACAAGATTATAGAATATACATCACAAGATTTCGAATATACATCACAAGATTATAGAATATACATCACAAGTTTTAGAATATACATCACAAGATTTTGAATATACATCACAAGATTTCGAACATACATCACAAGATTTTGAATATACATCACAAGATTTCGAACATACATCACAAGATTTTGAATATACATCACAAGATTTTGAATATACATCACAAGATTTCGAACATACATCACAAGATTTTGAATATACATCACAAGATTATCAAATATTGCAACGTTTGACATGCCATAGTAAATACCATTATGCTACACACTTTTTTTACATTCTGATCAATAGGTTGGAATGTATCAATTGAATGAGCTGTAGTCTAGTGATGGAGTAACTTTCTGAGCAGATTGAGGAACTTTTTTATGTTTCCCGAGCAACAAAGCTTTCGGTGTGGGTGGGGATGGGGAGGTGGGGGTAGCATATGATCCATCGTGTGAATTTATCTGCAAGACACTGATATAAAAGTTGAACCAGTTCTGCGTCATACTGATAATATGGTTCATTGCTATTATACGTATACAGATTCCCGACACACATTTTTCTAAAAATGTGACGCAACAAAAGAATAATTTAAATCCATAACTTAACTTTCTTTTATTAAAAAAAATGTAAAACAGAAACTCTGAATTAATTAATTAATCAGCAATTGTTCACATAGTCTTCAAACTCCAAAGTGGCTTAAAACTTTATTTTCCCTTTTTTCTTTCAGTAAACCATCATATTGGACGTATTTATGTCTTCTTGAAAATTCCTCCACTTTTGTCTCTCTGTTCATTAGACAGTGCTTCAGGTACAGGGCTAGGGTCACGTGAGACTCACGAAACACGGCAGGAATATCCTCGTAAAGCTTACCGCAAACTTCAAATAAATGCTTAAGAAGTTCCTGGACAAAAATAACAAAATGTTTGTGAAACCTTTATGACACAACTCTGTCAAGAATTGCTTGATCGTACCCCCTAACACCGTCTGAATACCAAATATCATTTCAGTAAGCACAATATCAGCAAAGTAAATATCTGAAAACTGCAAGTAATTGGATTTTTTTTTACATGTATGTCCAAGGGGCATAAGCCGCATAACTCTGTCAAAAATTGATCGATTTGATTATGATAAATCTGTACATACAAAATTTCATTTCAGTGAAGTGCAATATCTGCAAAGAAAATGAACGGAAACTATCGGTGGACTGATCGATAGACAGACAGACCGACTAAAAGTCAGAAGCAGCAAAGCAATATGTCCTATACTTTCTAAAAAAAAAAAACAGAAAAAAAACAAACAAAAACAACAACTACAACTTAAAATGCACCTAGTCTTGAGAGAAAAAAATTGATTGATTTGAAAGTTGTTTAAAGTGATATATGGCGCATTTTTTTTTATAAGTTCAGACTAACTAAAATTTAAAAAATCTTTCTATTTGTTTTGTATGGAATGCCATATACGACAGCCAACTGCTTACTGCCAACTGCTGACTGCTTACTGCCAAATGTCAGCTGCTTACTGCCAACTGCCACACATATTTGAATAAATTTTATTTTTATATTGATATTTATGTAAATTATAAGAAAAGGCGCAGATCTGTAGGACATTTTTTCCGAGATGGTCACTCTGGTAAAAAAAAAAATCCAACCCAGAAATTTCTTGACAAGAAAAAAATATGTAAAGTCCTTTCCTAAATGTGAAAGTTTATTTCGGCCGGGGAGAGGGGGTTCTTATGCGTCATACCTTCATGTGTATGACATTTTTCATACAAACTTAACACGAATCCACATTTTCGGTTTGGGTGGGGGTGGGGGTGGGGTTCAAAGGTCCCTTTTAGTTGATTTATTTTCCAACTTAAATAACTTTTAGTTGGTTTAGTTTGTGCATTAAATAACTTTACAAGTTTCAGAGGGGTGTTCCTGACTCCTCTCTCTAGATCTATTCATGTAAAACATATTTTATTTGTACAAACAAAGAGATATAAATGTTTGATCGGTGTTTTCTAAGTGGACGGTCCAAGGTCAGTTATACCGGTAGTTCATTTAGTTTATTTAACGTATGACTGTACAAATTTTAAATGCCCCCCCCCCCCCACACCGATCTATGCATGTGAAACATTACAGGGACGTAGCAACATTGGGGGGGCATCCCCCCCCCCACTTTTTCCCAACATTACCTTTACTATTGAAAATGTATAAAAAAGATGATCAAAACTGCATCGAGGGTGATACTTGGTTCCAATATTTTTCAGATCTTACTTCTGTTTCAGACAAAATGAAAAAAAACTAGATGTTTTAGAAGAAAAGTTAAAAGTAATGGAACATAATAATTACAGTTTCTCTATGATAGACAAAAAAATTACAAACACAGAATTACAAGAGGCATTTTCTAAGCTTAAGATGAAAAAACACCTGGATTAGACAATATCTCAAATGAAATGCTTAAAGCATCACAACATTTCATCAATCCTTGCTTGTTAAAACTGTTTAATGCTGTATTTACATCTGGAGAGTATCCTTCAAAATGGTCAGAAAGTTTTATTTGTCCTCTATTCAAATCTGATGATCCAAATAAGCCAGAAAATTTCAGAGGCATAGCTATTAACAATAGTATTGGAAAATTATTTAACTTAATATTGAATAATAGACTTGACAATTTTTTGCTGGAAAATGATACTATTCATAAATCACAGATAGGGTTCTCCAAGAAATCTCGCTCTTCAGATCATATATTTGTGTTAAAATGTTTACTCAACAAATATCTCAAGACTGGTGATAAGAAATTATATGCTTGTTTTGTTGATTTTCGAAAGGCTTTTGATAAAGTTATTCATGTTGGCATTATGTATAAACTGCAATCAAAGGATATAAATGGATATTTTTACAGAATTTTAAAATCTATGTATAAGAATGATAGATTATGTGTGAAAGTAAATGATAAAATGACAGATTTTTTCACATCTGGGGTTGGGGTCAGACAAGGGGATGTCCTTAGTCCAAATTTGTTTAAACTCTTTATAAATGACCTCCCAAGTATTTTGGATCATAATTCTGTTTCTGTTACTCTAGATAAAGAAATGATTTCATGTCTCCTGTATGCAGATGACCTTGTTTTATTGTCCAATTCAAAATCAGATCTTCAATGTAAACTCAATCTTCTCCATGATTACTGTAGTGAGTGGTGTCTAGAAGTAAACATAAAAAAAACAAAGGTAATAATTTTTAATAACTCTGGTAAATTACTGAAGGAAGCATTCCAACTTGGTAATGACATTATAGAATGTGTAAAACAATATAAATATTTAGGGATAACTCTTGAAAACAATGGAAAGTTTACTGAAGCCAAAAAACAACTGTATCAGAAAAGCTTAAAGGCATGCTTTAAATTCTATAGGGATGTGAAAAATGCTAACCCCTCCTTAAAAACATTTTTACATATATTTGATCACTGTATTAAACCTATAGCTTTATATGGCTGTGAGAACTGGAGCATTATTAATGTTACTCCAAAAAGGAAAAATATCCCTCTTTTTGATAAAGATTGGGAAGTTGAAAAACTCAATATGAAATTCTGTAAATACATTATGGGTGTATCTAAATCTTGTACAAATGTAGGAATCTATTCTGAACTAGGGAGGTACCCATTATATATAGACATGTTAAAGCAAATATTCATGTACTGGTATAGACTAGAACATACATCATCTAACCTACTGAAAGCAGCTCTCAATGAGTGCAAATCAAACATCATCAACAGTGATTGGTACTCCAGTATATTATTCTACAGTGAAAAACTTAATATTAATTTGTCCCTTTGTAAAAAACTAAGTGAAAACAAATTTAAATTGTACATGAAAAGACAACTCAGTAATAGTTTTTTAAACATTTGGAACGATATTCGTACCAATTATTTGGAAGGCTTTGGTAAATTAAATACATATTTTAAGTATAAAAGGTCTTTTTATTTTGAAAAATACTTGAATATGAAAAACCGAGACAATCGGGTAATTCTCACAAAATTCAGAATTAGTAATCATTGTTTAAGGGTGGAAACGGGTAGATATGAAAGGAAAATTAATAAATGTGGTAAAAATGAAATTCTTCCCAGGTGTGAGAGAATCTGTCGTTACTGCACCTCAAGTCCAACTGAGGATGAATTGCATTTTTTGCTAGAATGTTCACTTTATAATGACTCAAGAAGAGAGTTTTTAGATA